CACTCTATTCCACAGGCATCTAAGTTTGTCTCCTTCATTGGCCTGTAAGCTCCTAAAAGATAAAGATCATTCCTGGGGCACCTGGGTGGCTCGGTCAGTTAAGCATCCAACTTCAGCTCAGGTCATGATCTCGCGGTTCATGAGTTGGAGCCCTCAGTCAGGCTTTGTGCTAACAACCCAAGAGCCTGGAGCCTGCTTCAGATTCTGGGTCTCCCACTCTCTGCCCCTCCCCCACTCATGCTCTTGCGTGCTCTTTCTCTCTCTCAAACATTTAAAAAATTATAAAAATAAAGATCAAGATCATTCCTTATTTTTGTTTCCCAGGTCCCAGCAGAGTTTGGGGAGAAAGGGATGATGGGGGCAGTAGGAAGCAATCTGAGGAGCACCTACTATGTGCCGAGCACCGCATGGGAGAGGCCACGTCACCCAAGGGGCAGAGTATGCTCCAGAAAGAGCACGGCCCCTGAGCTCTTGGCTTACTACCTGGCTCTTTTTGCATTATATAAAGGACCTCACCAGACTTCACTCTGTTTACCTTCAAAGGGGCTAACACCCCAACCTCTCAGGGGTTTTGTGATGACAGAAATAACCTCCCAGCTATATTACTGGCAACCAAACTTTCCTAAGTCTTTACTATCCTTGACAATTATGTACCTCTGCTGCTCAAGATTGTTCCATGGTTTTCTACTTCATGTCAGGTGAAATCTTAACTGAGTTACCTACCATTCAAGTTTCTTATAAATAAGGTCCCTCTCTTCGTATCCAGTTTTATTTCTGATTATTCATGACTTGTGTATCTGGTTGCGCCAAAACCTTAAATAACTTCCCAAACCAAACCAAACCAAACCAAGCAGGAGAAATAAGCACAGTGGTCACAAACCCAGGCTCTGGTAACTCGCACAAGTGGGTTAAAAACCCAGCCCTTTCTGGGGCGCCTAGGTGGCTCAGTCGGTTGAGCATCCAACTTCGGCTCAGGTCCTGATCTCACGGTTTGTGGGTTCAAACCCCGCCTCGGGCTCTGTGCTGACAGCTCAGAGCCTGGACCTGCTTTGGATTCTGTGTCTCCTCCTCTCTCTGCCCCTCCCCTGCTCATGCTCGGTCTCTCTCTCTCTCCTTCAAAAATAAACTTTAAAAAACATTAAAAAAAAAAAAACAGCCCTTTCATTAATTCATTCTTGAGCAAACTATTAAGTCTCAATCTCCTTAGGAATCAATCTAGATATATAATAGTATCTGCATCACAGTGATGATGTACTGAGAACTAAATCAAACAGTGCATGTAAATGTTAACTTTTATTAATTTGATTAGTCCCAACCATAGGGCTATATATTCATTTCCACCCACCCCCATAACTGAAATCCCTTTAAGGGAAACCCTGGATTCCTTCTGCTCCACAAACCAACAGATTATTCAAGAAGAATATCATCTCTCTCATAAACTGCTCCCTAACCATATAGGTACTGACCATAGTACAAACAACTTCAGTGAGCTCCCTGCCACTTAACCTACATTATAGGCTTAATATTTTTCACAATTTAGTAGCCTGAAGGAGGTAATTCTTTCAAGTAAATGTGGAGACTCTTTTCAGTCATGCAACAAGCCTCTGTTTCCAGAGGAGCTGGGAAGTTAATGCTGACATCCGGTTGGAACCCAGACTGAATTTTCCCACAGAAAGCAAACCTACAGATGGTGGCGAGATACGGTTGCCACCCTTCAGAACCTAACTACTATTTATTTTTCCATTGTTTTATTTTGACCCACATCTGTTTCATATATGTTAGAACCTGCCCCAAGAGGGACCTTGTAGAAAGAGCACAGGCTCCTTTGAGTTAAAATGCTGGGGTTTAATCTCAGTCCATTCCCTTACTAACAAGGTCCCAGGGACTCCAGTACTTTGGCCCCAAAATTTCCACACCTGTGAAATACAGCTGGTGCAGCGCTGGGCAGGTGATGGGGGAGCTGTCGCTTCTTCTGAGTACACAACTCCTGAAGTGCCCTTTCCTAACAATTTCTTTTAAGGTGATGTGTTACTAGGAGGTAGGAAAGAGGCTTCACTGTGACAGCAAGCCCTTGAGATACAAGATGGTCACACCGTGGAATCTCTTCATGAGTTCACTCTTCTGCAAACAAAATCTGCTAAGATTCCTTCCGGCTTTATGTAAGTTTGAAAGTAGTTTTGTTTTATTTTGTTTTTAAATAAAATGGATGGCGTTGGGCATACATGCCCAGTGTAAAGATCCATAAACTGGGCAGTAGAAATAAACTGTAATAAACTACAAATAAAGAAAGTAACATGCACCAGCCTGGAAGTATAAAAGTATATGTGTTCTATTTCTGCAAAATCATTGAGGCTATGTTAATAATTACTTTGAAACACTGATGTCAATTCCACCAGCACAAACGTGTTTATAATGGTGGCAGTTACACTTCACAGTTATATTTTAAATTTTAGAAAGGAGTTCCTTTTATCCATCAAATCCACAATAGTCTCAAATATTTTTATGAACAACTCTCTGGAAAGGGAGAGAAAA